TCCAGGTGAAAGGAATCCTCCACTGTATTTGCCCCTTACTTGGAAGTATCTTGTATATTTTTAAGCCATGAATATAAATGTGTGATCTTGAGAGATTATTCTGTATTTGTTACCTTTCATTGAAGTGGTATGTATAATCAAGCTATTTGTTAAAGAAGATTACCATTAACTAGTTTTTTCCTCTAGTGACATTATAAATTACTGTAAAATGTTTAATTTTTGAAAGCCCCAGTTCCTTGAGCTTTCATTATCAAACATTCCTGTCTGCCCCGCACCCCCCTTACAATCTTGTGTAGGAGAGGACCTGTGTTAGGAGTTAGCCTCTGGAATCAGTGTGTTAAAATGCTACCTCTACTACTTGCTGACTTGATGACTTTGGACATGTTACTTAACCTCTATCTCCTTAGGCTTCTTTAGCTATAAAGTGGGAGCCATAATAGTACATAGTGAGGGTTAAATGATTACTTTATGGCAACCCTTACTTTAGAACAATGTAGCAATAATAAGTGCTAAATATAGTGTTAGCTATTTTAGTATACCTAGTGCATTAGAATGTGTTAAATGTATTTATAGATCTTGATGCTCACCCATGGTCTCCAAGAGTATTGCTTCAGATGGTTGGCTTTAAACATATTTGGTTATCACTGAATGTTTCAGATTTTGTTCAGCCTTTAAATGGCTTTTTCTTTTTTCTTGTTTGATAGAAGTGCTTGATTTTTATTATTTACAAACGACAATATATTTAGTATTTTGAAAGCTTTTTATTTTAAATAGTGCTGTTTTATTATTGAAGGCATGATGATTTTAATTCCTGGATTCTTCGTTCATTCTTTTTATTAATTCCTTCAGCTTAAAGTAAGAATAAAAGAGAATTCATGTGGCCACACCTTCTAGAAGCCAGGAGGAAACTTTTGAAAGCTAGTATCTCTTTATATAAGCATTGTAGTATTAATCTTTAATAATATTGATCTTTAACAAAACCAATAGGTTGTTGAGGTACAGTATTTTCTCTTTATAAAAAAAGTAAAATAATCAAGTAGCGAATTTTGTGCTAATCTTTGTGAAAGCAGTTGGTTTAATAAGATCACGTATCTGTTGATTTCTTATATATTATACACCATCTAAAAAAATTTATTTTCAAAGTCTTCTTTGTGACATTATGATGTTAACAAATTAAAAATAGATCTTTACTCTGAGGAGACTATTATTGATGATTCTTCATATGGGAAAACTGGTTTGGGGATTTATACATATTCGACTTCTTGATTTTGATCAAATACTTACTCCCTGGAGCAGGAGAGCCAAACCTTTTCTGTAAAGGGGCCGATAGTAACTGTTTTAGGCTTGATGAGACATGTAGTCTTTATCTTAACCCTTCACCTCTGCCCTTGTAGCAGAAAGCAGCCTTAGATGATACGTAAATGAATAGGCAAGACTGTTCCAATAAAATGTATTTACAGAAATTGATCCATTGTGAAGGAGGAAACTTTACCCCCAGTCTGACCACTGCACGAGAATATGAATTTTACTTCTTGTGGTCTCTCTGATAGAAATCTCAGGTATTTATTTCCTAATACAAACTGATCTTTTTTTTGTTTGTTTTTCATTTTTTGTGAACCTATCTTCAATTTAGACTAGTTGGCTTAAATGTTAAGGTTTAATCAACAGCACGAAACTGAACCTAGATAAGTCTGTGTTAGCTTTTTATGTCATAGGATTTTTAATTCCAACTTGAAATAAAAATAACTTGAACGCCATAGAAAGAACTTTGTACTTAATTGTACTTAGTTGCTTTGTGATAATGGACAAATTATTTCCACATTTCAGAGTTTCAATTTCCTTGTTTATGGGATGGGAATCATAGTCACTATCTCCCATGGTTTTATTTTCTGTTTAACTCTCTTTACCATTTCAGTTTAGCAGAATTATTTTAGTCATTAACATGTATCTCTTTCAGAACCTAGGAGAGAACTGTGCTCAGAGGTGAGCTTCTCTTCCCTAGTCATTCTTGAGGTATCAAAACTCTTGAAATTTCAAAATGCTTGAACATTCATATCAGATAGTTTTTATGACATTTTTGCACTTTTGTTTGTGTTTAGATTTTTCGTTTTACATATTTCTTGGACAGGTTATATAAAAATGGTATATAAAAATGTATAGTGAAATTTTGATCTTTATCAGTGGAAGCCTGTTCCAGAATCTGTTAGAATTATAGTTTTTCTCTTATGATGGCCTATCAGAGAAGCAGATTATTTGGAAATAGTTCCTGTTATATGCTCAATATACTCTTCATTTGACTAGAAATTGGTATCCTCATTAGGCAGATCTTAGCATACCAAAATGGTGTTTGTTCATCTTTACAAGCAAATCTTGTTTGGAATGAGAAAACAATCTATAGACACATGATTCTCAGTATATCTTGTATATACCAGAGTATGTGTTTTTAGGTAAGGTATGGATACATTGTAAAATATATCCTTCCTAACTTGGCTACTCAGAATGAAAGGTTACTGAATCCAATGAAGATGCATAAGTACCTCTGGTTGTCTCAGTATAAAGTTCAGAAGTTAGTACTCTAATTAGGTTCGGGTGAGGGCAGGAGAGGAGGTTGTGACACTGGTAGGTTAAGAGGTGAGGTATTTCTAAATATGATCTTAGGTTTTAAGGACATAAATCAACTACTTTGTGAAGTTTTGTTTTTTTCTTTAATGGCAGAAGTTTAGCACTCAAAGCAAACAGTAAAACTAGGCTGAATGGATAATGGAATTTGATGTGATATTATCTTTTAGGATTAAGTATAGCTGTGTATTTGATATTGTTCAATTATAGTGATAGTTCTTATATGGCTTGTGGTTTTTATAGCGTCCTATTGTGCTTCTGTTATATTTGGAAGCTTAATTTTAAAAAAATATTTTAAAAACTTTTTGAAAGCTCAGAAAAAAGATTCATGTTACATTTTGATGAAACAAATTCACAATTGATATTACATAAACATTTACAGTAAAAATTTTAGAGTCTCTGTTCTCTAGCTTTTATGTCAGATTTTGTTTCTAAAAATGGAAATCTCTTAACTTTATATTCTTACCTTTTTATAGTATATGACTGTTATTTAGCCTTTTTCCCTTCTTCACTTAAATATTTGTTGAATGCCCACTGTGTAGGCATAGGAGTTGTGATGGTAAGCATTAAAATGTGTGATAAGTACTATGAAGAAAAAATACAAGTGCTTTGAGAACATGAAACAAGAATATCCTTCATGTATGTAGTGTTCAAGGGCTTCCCTGGTGGCTCAGATGGTAAAGAGTCTGTCTGCAATGCAGGAGACCCGAGTTCAATCCCTAAGTTGGGAAGATCCCCTGGAGAAGGGAATGACAACCCACTCCAATATTCTTGCCTGGAGAATTCCTTGGACAGAGGAGCCTGGCAGGCTACAGTCCGTGAGGTCACAAAGAGTCAGACACGACTGAACGGCTCTCTCACACACACGCGTGGGGCTTTAATTTAGTAGAGCTTCCTTGGGAAGTAATGCCTCTGACTGGGACAAAGGATGAGTAATTAAGTACACAGAGCGGGGAGGAGGTATTTCTAGCAAAGGGACTCTTCTTTACAAAGGCTTTGAGTGTGAAGGGAGCCAAACACATTGGAGAATCCAGAAAGAAGTCCAGGGACTGGAGCAAAAAGATCAAGGAGAGAACAGGATAATGGTAGGAGTAGAGTACAGAGACTCTCTTCAGAGTGCAGAGGGCTTTGTAGACCACTTTACTAAAGATCTTGGTTTTCACCCTAAAAGCAGGGACATCATTAAAAGGTTTTAAGAGGGCAGCTGATGAGGTCAGATTTGCATATTTTAAGGGTCCCTCTGATGGCAGTAGAGCAAGCAGAATGAAAGCAGACAAGAGTGAAGTGGAGAAAAAAATCTGATGGCTTTGCAACAGTCCAGGCAATGGATGGCTATAACTTGAATGACAGTGTCTGAAAAAGAAGTAAAGGGAGATTTACAGATTAAAGACGTATTTAGTAGGTAAAAATTTTGGGCATTGATAGATTACCAGGTATTTGAGAGAATGTTGTCATGGATGACTTCCAGGTGTCTGCTTTTCACAGCTGGGAAGCCATGATACATTTAGTAATGTACGAACACTAGAAAGAGAAATCAGAGATGAGGGTGGGGGTGGGTCATGAGTTCAGTTTTGGACCTCTTGGATACAGTCAGTTCTTGAAGAATTTGGGAAGAGACAAAAGAAGCAGCGGTTAGAAGAGAATATAGGATAGAAGATTTTAAAGTCTGTGAAAGTGTAGGGCATGTTTAAATACTCCGTGAGAAACATTCAATAGAGAGGGAAGTTTTTAAATTATTGAAAGAGGGGAGGTGGTAATTAAAGGATCAGATGTCTTTACAAAGGCTAGAAAGAGCATACCTAAGTGGAATTACTGGTCTTAAACAAGATATACGCTTCCTCTAGTGTTTTAACAAGAGCAAGGAAGAAGAGGGTTCTGTGAATGTAGTAAGCCTTTAGTAAGGGCGTTGTTTTTCCTGAGATATGGAACTGTCCTTTGCCAAAAATAGTTGAGACTGAGGAAGAGGGCAGAAATCATCTTGAGGAGGAGGATGGAGAGTTAAAATAGTTATAGTGGCTAGTGAATTGAGAAACACAGAATTTCCTGGCCTCATTGACAGAAAAATTTTAGTTTAATAAATGTCACTTAAATGTTATCTTTAAATGTATCAGATTTGGGGGTGAACAATAAGAAAGTGAACTCTACTTGGTAGAAGAGTTCATGATGACCCTGTGAACGTCTAAGCAATGACATCAGTTTGCTAAAATCTAATACTATTCTGGATGTTAAAGCGAGGGTCACTGTTTGCAGTGCCACAAATAGAGCTGCTATACATTTTTTTTAAATTTGCATTCTTATCGTTGTATAATTTTACTTTGAGTGTTACTTATGTTGGGTAGGCCTAGTTTGTTTCTAATTGACGTTCTTTTTCCCTTTTTCAGGCAGGCAGAAGTCCTGAAGGCTGACATGACAGGTACTGTCTGACTCATTTGTTTTTCACAACTTATTTTATACCATTAAATTAAGAGAAGTGTGTCATCTTATTACACTACTTGTAGTACTGTCCTGGTTGCCAAAGGGTTTTTAAAATATTTATTGTTTTTATACTTTGAATTTTTACTTAGATAGCTCATCAAAAATTTTTATAATCTGTGCTACGTTGACTGGAATATTGCTTAGTTGATGCATATAATCATTTAATTTTGACATTCTATATTAGTGATTTAAGAGATACAGAAAAAATAATTCCTTTACCATATAAACACAAGTACCTTATGACATTAGGTTTATATCTTCCTGTTTATAATTCGCCAAACCTAAATAGTAGATGAGCCTTCAGAGAAAAATGTTTTCAGGAAAACTTTTGCAAATTGAAAGTCCTTGAAATTGAATGTGCTACCTTGCCACTTTTCTTTCTTTTCTCTCTTACCTTTTTGTTTTCAACAATAGCCAAGGTGTTTTTGAAAGAATAATTGGACTTAGCCACTAAAAGGAGCAGATGACTTGAACTCAAAATTAGGAAATAGATGGCAGCAACTGTGTAGTGGTCAGAATGTTCTCTTCACAGCATAACAGCAACATGCTTTCTGTGTAACTATGCTGAAATGTTTTAAAAAATATAGGTTCTAGTGGATCTCATCTTAATTTTTGAAGATTTTAGTTCTGCAGTGAAACCCACAAAGAGAGTTAAACTTGCTGTAAACTGCATACCTACTAAAATTTACAACCAAGAGGAAATGGGCTATTTGGATGTGTTTTTCTCAATTTCTAGAGTTGCAGGCTAATATTTTAAGAATTTTGGGTAATCTCACTATCATCTTGTTCAAGGGGAAAAAAGCCTAAACCACTTTTTCTTGTTTCACAGTTCTTCCTATTATTAACACAGCTGTCATTATCCACCATACTGTGGCTACCAGGGTCAGCTCTGAGCTCTGCTCTACTATTCCTCTTTGTGTTGGCATTGTAATCTGCATTGTGTGATAAAAGTTGTGTATGGAGCAATCTCAGGCAGTCTATATACCTTTTACATTTTCTTAACTCTTGAACACCCTCAGTAAGAAGGGTTTGACTTTTGTAGGGAACATCTGTTGTGCCCAGAAGGTGACTTGTCCCTAAGATATTAAGTCTGCTCATTCAAATGATAGTCTCTCTGATGGGTCAGAGTTAATGATACCTTAATATCCTTACCCTGCTGTCAATGAGTTGAAGCAGAGTTGAATAAATCTATAAATCTATTTATTTAGTCATTAAAAGCTTAATAAGGGGCCAAGAACCTGATACCAAAAAAATAGACCCTATTTTTTAGTTTCTAGCAAACTCTCGTGAGGATTAACTCTAATATCTGGGAGAGTCTGTGTGCAGAATAGGATTATGGTGCCTGTAGATACTAATAGCAAACCTAAAGAGGAGTGAAGATATGCCGTTGCAAAACCTTAAAATGCAACCAGACAGGCTAACTAGCAGTCAGAAATATGTAATTGAAAAGTCCATTATTAAGTTCTTCTATCGAGGCAGCTCACTGTCTGTTATTGCACTCATAAGCCTAGTAATAGGAAAGGCTAATGTGCCTTATAAGACTCTGGCAGACAGTACAGCCCCAGTTTGGTATTACATATAGTCGTAGCCTGACTTCTGACTTCATCTTGCACCCAGTCTCTCATTTGGCCTCTTGAGCAGTTTACTCACTTGTCTGATTCTGGTCCTCATTTACATTAAATAGCAAGTATGCATTGCTCACAAAAGTGTCTTGACAAGCAGCCTACCGATTGGTAAAATAACACTCACTGTCAAGACTTTATTGGCTTGACATATATAGGAAAGTAGGAATAATAGCAGAATGCCCAAACAACTGCTGGGTTGTGAGCTGACAGGAGGCTTCTGTAAGGGCAATTGTGAGAATGATTCAAAAGAAGAAGAAAAGCTTCTTTGAACAAAGAGATACAGTTATTAATGTAAGAGTAAACAGATCAACTTGGCAGTCCACCATTCCAAATGGGGTGACTTCTTATGAGGCATATGACTTCCTATGGTATGAATGCTTAGATATCCACACCAAAATCAAGGGGTGAACCATTCTCTCTCTCTTTTTTAGGCCTTTTTCATTTCATGGTGTTATTTTAAAACTAAAAGAGAAATACAGAAGCATTTTGAAAGATTCAATCATTAGCCAAAAGGTGAAAGTTTCATCTGAAATGTAGTAGTATAAAACTTTTGGAGCAATCTATGATATGTATTTAAGCAGGTTTTTGCTTTGGTGAATGGAGAGTGAAGGAATTGTTTGTGTGGCATAATGGCCTTAACAATCTGTTTATCTATCTACTGTTTTTGTTTTCTTACTCAGATTCTAAGCTGGGTCCAGCCGAAGTCTGGACATCCAGGCAGGCTCTGCAGGACCTGTACCAGAAAATGCTAGTTACTGATTTGGAATACGCTTTAGACAAGAAAGTAGAACAGGATCTGTAAGTATTACCATTTGGGATGTCCCTGTAAGATCAAGAAACTCACCAAGACTTTAGAAGAGAACGATTTGGTTGTTTCTTTTTAACCTGTTTCAGAGTAAGCTATCTCAATGGATAAAAAAAGAAATTCTAATACTTGTGATGTTTTGAACAATCTGTTTGACCTTTGGTGTAAAGAGGAGAAATGTTCAGAGTTGAGTTTTATTGAGGTGTTTAGGGCATATCATAAAAACAAATCATATATTTCAGGTGCTAAGAAACAGTGTTTGGATTCTCTGTATTGTATTCAGTCCTGTATTTAAGCTATGATTTAGAAAAGGGAAGTGTTCAGAGCAGGCTTTCTTTGATAAATGCGATTCTATATATCTCTCCCAAAGGAAAATATATTTACATTGTAAGGAAAGTTCTTCCTTTTAATCAAATAGATATTTCCTTCCCCTACTCCCCAATAAGACTAAGAAAAATTTTACATATTTAGGCTATTCCACTCATTCTTTCTATGAGCTGTGAAATGGCAGATGACCAGATTCCCAAGTGAGTAAATAAATGCCTTTCATGGAAGGCCTTGCCTTATAAATTGAAACAAGGACATTAGCCTGGTGGAAAATTAAAAATCAAGAATATTCTGTTTACCTAAGTTGTGGTGAAAATTAGTTTTTCCTAATCTAATTTTCCTGATTTTTGCACACCTGACCTTTATATTGTTAGAAGACCTAGTAATAGAATTTAATCACAACCATTCAAACACGTATTTTTGATATTAGAGTCATGGATAAGATGGCATCAAAAATGCTGAGGGAGTGATTGCCCTCAGAAATCATTAAAAACCCCAGTGCTTCAAAAGAGTCTCAAAAGCTGCCGTTGATAAAGAATTAGGTACTTTCCAGGTAGGTTGTAAACCCTTTATCTATGTTTGCATCCTTTAATGAAGCCAGTGTATCTTCCATCATAGTTCTTTTTTTGTTTGTTTCTTTCTTTCTTTTCCCCCTGTGTTTCCAAATTAGGGAGCAACTGTACTTCACCATAACTAAATTAAAAATGACTCTCTGTACAACTAGATTACTGAATGAAAGGCATTTTATAACAGGAGTTATAGAACCAATAGAACAGGAGAATAGGAGAAATAGAACCAAGTGTTGTGGGGAATAAGTTTTAGAGAAATAAGAAATATGGCTTAATATTTATAAGGAAACAACCACCACCACCACCACCACCACCACCACCACCACCACCACCCACCACCACCACCGGCATTCCACTTGATAGAAGACATTTTTTTGGTGCAGTGATACAATGTATGGAAATTTGTTAATAGCTTACTTTTACTTTGGTTTACCACTGTAGTTCTAAGTTTGTACCGGGATTCCTAAATAGGTTCTAACTCTAGTAACACTAAAAGATTAATAACTGAAGCCACAGTCTGATTATTCGAACATTTGGTAAGTGTTTACTAAGGTCAGTTGCATTCTGCCGCTTGTCTAGTCTTGTTCAAAGGGGAGCGTAAAGTCATTTAAGTGAGTAACTTTAATGCGGGTTTACTGCCTAGTGTGTTATAACAAACAGTTCTTTCTCGTTCTCAGGGGGACCAGTGTCTGCCCAGTGAGTCACTGCTATACCAAATAGAATTACATTTTGTTTTCAGCTGGAATCATGCCTTTAAGAATCAGATCACAACACTACAAGGCCAGGCAAAGAATCGAGCAAACCCGAATCGGAGTGAAGTTCAGGCAAACCTTTCTCTGTTCCTAGAGGCAGCTAGTGGCTTCTATACTCAGGTGAGTTTGGCACTACATACCAGTTTTCCTAAAATCAGTGGTGAATATTCCCTTTGTGCACATCGTACTCGTATAGGCACTTTATGTACCCATAGTATGGTGCATCTAGGAGTTGATCATCTGTAATCTCAAATTTTAAAAAATGTCCAAAATTATTTACCATAAGACTTAAAACAGTAAAGACTGCTCTTGTAAAAGGCGATGGTTCACCTTAAAGGTTGGAGGTATAACTGTGTACATAGAAAAGGGTAATGAGAGCAGTGCCTTAGTGAGGCAGCAGCGGCACAGTTACAGGTGAAAGAAGTCGGTCACAAGTGAACGGACTTTGCTTCGTCAGAGCAAATGTGAGTGTGTGGGTGCAATCATTAAGAAAGTTTAACAGCCATGTTGTGCTGGGTAAGAAAGTCAAAATCTGTGATCTCAATGAGTTCTCCTAGTATTAAGTACATAGTAGAATATATCTGGAGCTTCAACTGCTGTTAAGCTACCTAAGAGATAGAATAGCCTTTCCTCAGTTTGAATAATAAGCTGTTATTTACTGTTCTCAGAAACTTTCCCTGCCTTGTCATATCTTGATATGACTTCTAAATCACATGAGGTAGAATAATTCTTTGTTGGACAGTGAATTTTATTTAAGCAGAATTCCTTTGAAAACTTCATCCCATCCGCTTGTAGTAGCATTCATAATTTAATAAAATATGCATAAATTCTCACTCTACAATGACAAGGCGAGATTTTGAGGAGCTCGCACCAAAGAAATTCTCAGAACCTTCTCCCTGTGCTGCTGCTTGCCCATTGCACCTGTGTTTTGTCTGTTTTGGTTTTGCTATTTAGAAAAGACTGTTGAAAGATATCAAATAGCCGCCATCTTATAGATTTACTTAGACTAAAAAATTCATCACTGGTCATCACTGAAAGAACTCAAGTATGATTCTTGTTCTCACACTTCATTTTCAAATTGCTGCCAGCTTTTAGCAAAAGTTGGTATTTCTGGAGAGAGGGGTTGTGGTTTGCCACTTGGCTAATCCTTAGGGCAGATGTTAAAGGTTAATTCATTCTGCAAGTAACTGTTAAAAGTTTGTTCTTTGTAACACACAATACTAGACACCAAGGATTGAAGGGAAGAGAGACCATCTTTAACTTTCAAAGGACTATCCAGTCTAAATGAGGAGATGGATATATTAATAGATACTTTTGGGGGGGGGGTTCCATTATAAAAAATGCATACCAGTGCCAAGAGATTTGAAAATTATAAGAAGTCCAAACATTTTTCCTTACCCTCTCATTCAGGATAAATTACTGATGAGTAGAGTTTTTAACACTATTGATAGTCACTTTTGTTTTTCCAGAAAGTTATCATTTATGTTTTTAAATTTCCATCAACAGTGTATACAAGTGTCTATCTTGACATATACTCAACAGCATTAAGTATGTCAGTAAAGGTAAATGAATGATTAATTGAATAACATACTTCATAGATGGAGAATAATTTAATGTCTAGTTACTAGTGATGTTGAACTTCTTTCATTCTTTATTAGATATTTGTATTTTATACAATCAGTTTAATCATTTATTTTCCCCATCCATTGTTCAGACTCTAATTTTTTCTGTAGTAATTGTCTGAGCCCTTTCTGCATAGGGATATTGATTTTTCTTCCCTTTTTTTGACAGTCATCTTTTTCTCCAATTTCTTCTTGTCCTTTCATTTTGTTTGAAGTTTTTTTAAATACAGAAGTTACATAGTTTTTGTTTTTACAGTACAGGTTTTTCTTTGTGCATTTGTCCATAGATCAACAGATACTTAATAATAATTACATTTAAAGAAACAAATAGGTATTATATTGATATACTAAAATTTGGAAACAACACCAATATCCTACAATAGAGTAATGGTTAGATAAATTACAAACCATCTATAAAATGAAATTATGAAACTATTATAAATGGTATTTATGAAGTTTTTTTTATTGAGGTTTAGCTGATGTACAATATTATGTAAGTTTCAGGTATACAAAATAGTAAGTCACAATTTTTAGAGGTTATACTCTGTTTATGCCTGTGTGCTTGCTAAGTCACTTCAGTCATGTCTGACTCTTTTACCCTGTGGACTGTAGCCCACCAGGCTCCTCTGTCCATGGGATTCTCCAGGCAAGAATACTGGAGTGGGTTGCCATGCCCTCCTCCAGGGGATCTTCCTGACCTAAGGATCGAACCTACTTGCCTGTCTATATCTTCTGCATTAGCAGGCGGGTTCTTTACCACTACTGCCATCTGGGAAACACTTACTCTGTTTATAGTTATTATAAATATTGGTTATATTCCCTGTGCTGTATAATATGTCCTTATAGCTTATTTATTTGACACATAATAGTTTGTACCTCTTCATCCCCTACCTCACCTCTCTCCTTTGCCTTCCTAACTGGTAACCACTAGTTTGTTTTCTTTATCTGTGAATCTGTTTCATTTTTTTGTTATATTTACTACTTTGTTGTGTTTTTTAGATTCCACATGTAAATGATAACATACAGGCACTTATCTATCTCTGTCTGGCATTGCATTTAATATCTCTTCCAAGTCCGTGTTGTTGCAAGTGGCTAATTTTCATTCTTTTTTACGGCTTAGTAGTATCCCATTGTATATGTATGTTTGTGGGATACACACACACACACACACACACCATCTTTTTTATCCATTCATCTGTTGATGGACAGTTGGGTTGTCTCCATATCTTGGCAGTTGTGTATAATGCTACTGTGAACACTGAAGTGCATGTATGTTTTTGAATTAGTGTTTTTGTTTTTTTCAGTTATATGCCCAGGAGTAGGAGTGAAATTGCTAGGTAATAGGGTAGTTCTGTTTTTATTTTTTTGAGAAACCTCCATACTGTTTTCCACACAGACTGTACCAACTTATATTTCCACCAGCAGTGTATGGGGCTCCCTTTTCTCCGTGTCTTCATCAGCATTTGTTATTGGTGATCTTTTTGATGATAGCCATTCTGACAGATGTGAGGTAATAACTCATTGTGGTTTTAATTTGCATTTTCAGATGAGCCTCTTTTCATGTGCCTGTTGGCCATCGGTATGTCTTCATTGAAAAAGTGTTTATTCAGATCTTCTGGTGTTTTTTAATGCAGTTGTTTGGTTTTTTGATCTTAAGTTGTATGAGCAGTTTATGTATTTTGGATATTAACCCCTTATAGTTTTCTCTCATTTGGTAGGTCGGGTTTTCATTTTGTCGACAGTTTTCTTTGCTCTGCAAAAGCTTTTAAGTTTAATTAGGTCCTGTTTATGAAGATTTTTTTTTATGATGAGGAAATTGTGTTAAATGAAAAATCATGATATAAAATTATGGATACAGTTGGACTCTAAACGTTAGTTGAATAGTCTCAGTTCAATGGGGTATTAACAAAAATGGTATGTCTCCCTATTACTAGCATACCCCTCCCCCATCACTACTTTAAACTCTACTTCTTTGATTTCCAGATTCCCATCATAACCTTTTGGACAGATTTCCTACCATTCTCATTGCTCTTAGGTTTTCATAATAAACAGTCTAGTTTTAAAACTCCAGTCTCGTCTCCAACTTAAATCTCTTCCTTCCTTCATGTAGTGGAAATCTAAACTGTGAATACAACTGAAGTTGGGAGGAGCAAAATAGACTTGGTGGAGGTATTGGATTGGCCAAAAGATCTTATGGAAAGAGTATCCACCTTCTGCAGTACATTTTTATATTAGCCATTACACAGATACGTTTATCTTGGAAAATGATTCTTTTTTTTTTTTTTTTTTCCTGGTAGGTAAACTTGAATTTATTAAATGTCAAAAATATTTGATTTTTTTCAACCATTTAAAGATGCATAACTTTAGTTCACAGACCATGCAAAAACAGGTAGGAGACCAGTTTGCCAAACCCTGGTTCACATCATAGAATAGCATATAAACATGCTTTTTATGGGACTTTCCTGGCAGCCAAGTGGGTTCAATCCCTGGTTGGGGAACTAAGATCCTGTATGTCTTGTGGCAAGGCATCCCCCCACCAACAGTTTATTTTAAAAAGGCGCTGCGTTCAGGTACAAGGATGACACATATGTGTACTTCCTGTAACAGTAGGTTTAAGAGCTGCTACTTATAGGGAACAATAAGACAACAAAACTTTAAAAAAGCCAATTCCTAATTTACTAGCTTCGAGTACTTACTAGTACTTCTAAGTACTTGGTAGCTAGAGAACATTTCTCTCATTGGACAGCCCTGTGTCCTGACAGGAGTATTTATTCAGTACATCATCACAAACCATCTAATACAATAACAGCTCCTACGTTACATATTTATTACTGGTCTCCACTGATAGTAAGGAAATAAGAAACATCAGGAGCCAAGCATTACAGTAGTGATGTTCTCACTGTGATACGGCTGCTTAAATAAGTGGTCTTAACACGTGTGCCACTTTTTATGTGAGGCTTCTTATAGATCCAGCTTGGTTCTTCTCCAATGTCTTCTCTTGGAGTTGTACCTAATTTTATTGCCAGTTTTCATTCGAATCCATTGAGGAATGGGACGATTCTGCTTTTGCTTCTTGGCCAGGAATCGCTTGATCCTGAAAGTCTTGTGAGAAGACATGGTGAGGACAGACCTCACCCGCACATAGGATGGCGGAGAAGAGAAAAGAGCGGAAAATGATTCTTAACCTTTTTTTATGCTGTGACACACATGTAGCACATTTCCAAGGGTTTGATTGGACACTAATAAATCCAAACACATCTGCAAGGAAGTATAGCAGGAATCATTTTTGTTGAGGTAGCAGGTTATTTGCAAAAACATTTTATAAGCAAGTCAATAATAAAATATTAAATGTCTCATAATATTGTTTTATAAAGGAAAATATTATTTTATAAAGGAAAATATATAAGTAATCTCATTTTGAAATTTGTTTTTTGATATTTCTGTAGTAAGTATTGATCTTTCCCCTACTGCATTCCACAGGCCCTGGTTGAGTAATTACACCAGTTGTAGAATGAGCAGCAGTAAACTTTTTTCAGATCTCAACATTAATAGAACTTGTTAGTAACATTTTTTTGGTTATCTTGATAATTGAAACAGTTAAATGATGTTGTGAACAATAATGTTCTACACATCTTTTTTGATGACATGAGGTACAGATTAAGCTACCAGACTGGGGAAGTACACCAGGTCCAAATCATTGTACAGCCTTATAGACTAAGATGAGTTTTGAATTTTAATCTAAAGTGTATGTAGTTGCAAGTCATTGGGAAGTAGACGGGAATAATAGCATGATAAAATTTGTATTTTTAAAAGATTCCTTTGGATGTTGCTTGGAGATTGATTTTGCAGGGGTCAAGAATGGAAAGTAGGTAGTGTGCTGCTGTGGTAATGGAAAGATATTGATGGATTTTTTAAACTATGGCCAGGACTTCCTATTGGATCAGATGTGTGGAATCAGGATAGGGGAAGAGTCAGAGATAACTTAAGTTATCAGATTGAGTGGCTAGTTGACTGGTTGTACCATTTACTGAGATAGGGAACACTGAGGAAAAGACAGCTCTATTCATGTTACGCTAGGGAGATAGATGCCTGTTTGCCATAGAAGTAGAGAGATCAAATAGGTAGGTGATTCGATAAGCTAAGCTAGGACCTCAGTGAAAAGATCACAGCCAGAGTAAAATTTATGATTACAATAAAGTACCCTGACTTTAGACATTAGGATTTTGCATTTAAAACGATAGAGCTAGGTGAGAACAGGTTTGGCACAGGAGGAGCCACATTTCAGTAGGAGTAAATCAGAGTGATATCTTAGAAGACAAAGAGAAAAAAAGCATTTCAATAAGGGGAGTGACCAACTCAGGTGAGTGCTACAAAGAAATCAAGTAAGGTGATTAAAAAAGATCAGTTGGATTTGACATACAGAAGTCATTAGTGAAATTAATGGATACCATGTTTCCTCATTTCTAAAACATGTTTCATATTTTAACACCTTTGAGATAGGGATACATTTACAAAAGATGGTCAGTTCACCATTTAATTGGCAGTTTTTCTGTTACATAAATAATAGTTCATCTTACAATTTATGGTATCTTAGATTTGATGAAATGTGACTTCAGTTGAGTGGTCGAGATAGAAATCTGATTGGAATGGATTGAAAAGAGACAGATATATGCTCAGTTCTGTTTTCTGTGAAGATGATTTTTTTGATTTAGATATCGTTTTGTTAACTATTGGTATTTAAAGCATGGTGCTTGAAGGCAGAACCAAATTGCCAAATGAAGTCAAGATGTAACATTATGCTGTGTGGGTTTTTTTAAAACATCAAAAAACAGAACAATAGAGTAGTCCTTACTCTTAAGAAATGTGAGACAAAAAGAAAGTGTTAAGTATCTGTAGTAATTAAAAGATATTCTGTGTATTCATAGTGAAAGGAAAAGTGAAAGTCGCTCAGTCATGTGCGACTCTTTGTGACCCCATGACTATATAGTCCATGGAATTCTCCAGGCCAGAATACGGGAGTGGGTAGCCTTTCCCTTCTCCAGGGGATCTTCCTGACCCAGGAATCAAACCAGGGTCTCCTGCATTGCAGGCGGTTTCTTTACCAACTGAGCTATCAGGGAAGCCCTGTGTATTCATATTTAGTTCTAAATTCTTAGGGTAGATTGAAGAGCTAAGGAGCAGTAGAATAGTATAATAAGAGTTTTCACAGAATAATTGCCAAATATAGTTTTGTTCAGCTTATTAAACATCTGTTTCTCTTTAGTCCCACCTTGTTTCTGCCTCAGCTCATGCTTTCTCACCTGGAATCCTTTGAACCAGCAGGAATTTTTCCAGTATCTCTACCTACAACTCCTGGGTTCAGACAAAAATTTTATTATAAGACAGCCACATGAAGTTTCAACCATATTTTATTTACTTTTCTTAAACATCCTTTTTTTCTTCTTGATAGATATTCAGCTGTGCCTAATTTTCCAGTCTGTTCTTTCAGTACCTGTAGAACTCAATTGTTTGTTTATCCTCTGTTCTGTTTCTTCTTGCTGTCCTCCACAGAATCTGTTTTAGGGTTTTTCCCATTTTTTTGTTACTTTTTTTGTACTTCTTGCTTTTTTTCTACTTCCAGACTCTATTCATTCTGGGCACTAGTTTTGTTTGCTCAATTTTATGTCAGAAAATTTCTTGCACATTGCAAATGTACAGGTATAAGTACAGTTGTAGATAACTCCTGTGTTTCGTGAAAAGGGAATATAGGATTTTATGTTTGGTTATAGAGGTGCTTTTTATCTTAGGAAAAGGGTGAGACATTATATATCCTGAGTTGGGTCCCCCAAGGTGTCTTGTTTTGTGAAATCTGTACTTATTAGAGAGAGTGGTGTTAGAATCAAGATATGTCTAATTCTGTAATCTTAGTCAAATAACTCAATATTTTTGTTGCTTTCATACCCTCATCTGAAAAAAATGGAGCTTCATACCTGTGTTGAAGCAACATATTGCGTTGCTGCTAGTTTATCACAAGGATTAAGTGAGACAAACACATAGCCCAGGGAGTGAAGCTTATTATGTAGAATGTTCCATTGGTTATGCTATCGTTTGGGATATCTCTCCCTCTCTTCCTCGTCTCACCTGCTCTCCCTTCCCTACTTTATGTACCTGTCTTGCTCATTTATCTGTGAACTCCTGAACCACACAGATCTTTTTATCTATCTCTGTGTCCCTGTTGTTTTCCATGGGCATGTGATAAAATGACCAGGTATTTGAATGATCACACTTGTAAGTAAGTGTCTGAGTGACTGGGAGTAGACTGTGAAGAACTGTGGAGTGCCGGGAGTAAGTGCTTGAGGCTGTCAGCGTGGGGGGGTGGGGGGAGACGTTAATGAAGGGTGCTGAGAAGAAATGATTGGCAAGAAGAAAAGAACTAGAAAAGCTTAGTGATCAGTCATAAAATCAGCTGTTTTCAATGTGGCAGAGAGATCCAATAGGATGATGACTAGGAAACATCCATTGTATTTGCTTATTTATAACCAGTTGTCTTTGACAGCAGTTTCAGTAGAGTGGTTGTGGATGGTGGGATGGGGAGAGGAGAGGTTGTGTGAAAGTCAGATCATAATGGACTAAGGAGCAACTAGGAATTGAGAAAGCAGATATGATACTTGTGGACTCCTTCGAAGGAATTCTGTTGAGAAGAAGAAGAGACATTAGAAGCTTGCTAAAGGAGAAATCTAGAATCAAGGGAAAGTGCTTCAGTTCTGTGTGTTTTGTTTTATAGTAATAATTATTGTTTATTTTTTGTGGGCAACATTTCATAGGCCATAGCAACGAAGTTTGATAAGTTGAAAGTAGATTTTAAAAATGAGGGGATGAAAAATAAAAATGAGGGGATGACAGGCAGGAGGCAGAAAAGAATGAAACAGCATTCCCAGACAGAGAAGTTATTTCTCAGTGGGAGAAGGAACCCTCTCATACCATAAAACTAGAGAAGAAAGGAAGAAAGAGTGAATGTCTACATAATGTCAAAAGTTCCTTCCAGATCTCTACGGATGTATAGATCTGTGTGCAGAGACCCAAGTTTGACCTCAGGCTTAAGAAAATAAATCTCAAGAAACTCCTGAAGTCTGCCAAATATGTTGGTTTATATTTAAGTCAAATTTGTAACCAACTAGTCTTTAATGAGTTTTATCTGTTTCTAAGAGGAAAAGAAAATAGAAAGAGAGATAGGTAATTTCATGGAGTTGCTTGCTGAATGAATCTGAATAGCCTACTCAGGTACAATCTTTCTTTTTTCCCTAAATTGCTGCTATTCCTTTTAGATGTACATCTTGGATTGCTCTAATACTTGGCAAGTCAAATGATATGATTTGTAATGAATGTTACTAGTTATCCTTTGAAAGGTTGTCCTATCTTAGGTCTCAGCAGTATGTAATATTAGTTACACATGTTAAAGTATACCAACTTTACTGTTAGAGCACTTCTGACTTAATACTAACACTTGCTCGTGTTTTCCTTTCAGTTATTACAAGAACTGTGTACAGTGTTTAATGTAGATTTACCATGCCGTGTGAAGTCTTCCCAGTTGGGAATTATCAGCAATAAACAGACGCATACCAGCGCCATAGTGAAGCCACAGTCTAGCTCCTGTTCCTATATCTGCCAGCACTGCCTCGTTCACCTTGGAGACATTGGTGAGCCCTTGGTGTGAAGGAATTGATAATACATTCATGCTTTTCTTTGGAGTAGTCATAGAAAGATTATTTTCTTTTAAACAAGCCTACACATAGAACTTAGATTGTCATAAGAGAAAACTATAAAATGTATTTTAAGAAACTTTGATTTTTCTGAATCCTTTGGGATTGGCAAAGGATCTTGAGGGAAGTAACTTTCATATTCAGATTTAAATTTTATTCAGACTTTATGCAGATGTAGGCAAATAATAAACCAGCACAAATGTAATCAAAGCTTAATTTTTTCAAAGTGATGCCATAATATTTTTGAAAGACTGTACTCCTTTGAAATTGTGGAGTTTATAAAAATTACTCCTTCTGAAGCTGGGTTGCCTTTTTCTTCCTACCAGTGCATTAAAAGTTCATTTTTAATTGTTTCCTTTTTACAGTTCAATTTGTGTTTCCATTTTATATATTTTATCTGGGAATGTTATGTAATATATATATTCTTGTTCATTCCTTTAAGGTGACCTTAAAAGGGTTGTGAAACAAATTAACTATAGGATTATGTTTTGACTGTCCTCAAATAACAAGTGGATTAGAGGTCACATCAAAGTAAGCGCCAATTTCTACAGGGAGATTCAGCGAGTAGTAGTATATCTAGATTGCTTTTGCTTTCAAAAGTGTATTCTTTGCACACACACAAATGATATTTCAATAGGTATGAGGCATTTTTCAAAATCACTTTATAAAGATATTAAAGAAATACATAAATTTCAGATCATATTGTATAGTGTTTTTTGTTTTGTTTTGTTTTTAAGTGCCATATAACTCACCCCTTCTTGTGGGCCGGCCCCAGGTCACCAGCATAGTCCGTAGTGGGAGCTGGTGATGGCATGACACTTGGAGGACCTGGAAATGGGGCTAGGTAAGCTTTAAAGTTGGTTACATGCTGAGTGTCCCAGATAGGGAAGGCCGGATGGACACTTCACACGTAATCCTATAGTTAATTTGTTTTAAAACATTTTGTCTTAATCATCTTAATTTAATTTTAGTGTATTTATTAACTTTAAATGTTCAAACTATAGCTGTTTTGGAATTACCCTAATGGTTGTTTTTATCTGTGTGTTTTTAAATTGAGCTTTTTTTTCCCCTCCTCTTAGCTCGATACAGAAACCAGACCAGCCAGGCAGAGTCCTACTATAGGCATGCAGCTCAGCTTGTCCCCTCTAATGGTGAGTTGGTTATGTATGACACTTTACTCTCAGTAGAAAAATGGAAAATAGTTCAGGGCTCCTCTTTTAAGTGGTAAGAAGTCCAAAGATATTTTGAGTTTTGCTATTGATTATTGTATTTTTCCTTTTAACTGTACATTCTGTGTAATTGGAAATAAAGTTTTTAAAATATTATTACTGTTGTCAGTAAAGCAATATGAATAAAAGATCCTCTAATGTGATCTAAAATTGCTTCAACAACTCTGGCTTCCCTAATAATAATTTTCTTTTTAATAAATACAATGATTCCCCTCCTAGAAAAATTCTCTCTTATTACAAAAAGATAATGCTTTTGTCTTTTGATGGCTCCCTAAATGGGCGTTAGGAGTGATTCTTGAATTAAATCACTGTAGGTGTTTGGTGATATGCATTCTTGTTAAGCTACGTTGAAAGTCCTTTAGATTCTAAAGGAGTCACTTGAAATTAGGGATGGCATTTGGACATACTGTTTCATGTTGTCTGTGGCTATTTTCCCACTGCAGTGGCAGAGTTGAGTAGTTGTGATAGAGACTTCGGCCCACAAAGCAAAAAATACTTACTGTTTAGCCCTTTCCAAAGTCTTATTTGAACTTAGAGTGCCCTCCACCCTAATCATATGACTTTTTAACATATGTGCCATCACTAAAGTGTGCTGCTAGGCTATTTTTAATGAACTAGTCATGAGATTTACTTTATAAAATGCTCCCCATTTTTAATACAGCGATTTAAAAACTGCCCTTCTGCATTCTGTGATAGCAAGACTTCATGCATCTTGGATTACTTTAGAATCTTACCTTTCTCCTCTAGGTCAGCCTTACAATCAGTTGGCTATCTTAGCTTCTTCCAAAGGAGACCATCTGACCACAATTTTCTACTACTGCAGAAGCATTGCTGTGAAGTTCCCTTTCCCAGCTGCCTCTACTAATCTACAAAAAGCACTTTCTAAAGCACTGGAAAGGTAGGGTCGACTTTTCCAAGTGGACTCAAATTTGGGCATACAAGAAATAACGGCCGGCTGCTCATGCTTCCTGTCTCTCCTATTTGCCTAAAATCTAACATATGTATTACAACAGTTTTGCATGTAGTCACCACTGAATTTCAACCAGTTGGTCTCTGAGTTGTTCCCAGTGGAGTAGCACAGGCTGCTGAGCACTGATTCGTCTGAGTGTTACAGTCAGAAGTCATCGAGAGCAGTCCGCTGCCTGAGTCACAGGTGCTCAGATGATGCGTTTCTGCACATCAGAGTCTCCTGTAAGAGGTTTTAGGCGTTTTGCTGCTTAAGATTCATGGAAGTTTTTCTTTCATTTCAGCCGGGATGAGGTGAAAACCAAATGGGGTGTTTCTGACTTCATCAAGGCCTTTATTAAATTCCACGGTCATGTGTACCTGAGTAAGAGCTTGGAAAAGTTGAGCCCTCTTCGAGAGAAGTTGGAAGAACAGTTTAAGGTTAGATTTTTTTAAACAATTTTTTCTTGTCTAAATGAGGAAGCATACGATTTGGAGGAGACTCACTCCCAGTTTTATGTCATTACTGAATTATGAAATGTTGATAAAACAGAAATTTAAGGCATGTGAAATTCTGGCAAACCTCATTCCTTCAGTTTAAACTGAGGTGCTGTCTATGTAAAGAAATATAGCAGACATGTTTTCACTAAGTAGCTGCCATTTGGCAGAAAATATCATAGTGGGAAAAGAAATTTTCCTCCTTCCCTCTCAGACTGAGCACCTTTCTTTTCTCAGTTTTGGAAGTCCTGCATCTGATGTTTTCTATGTTTAGATGTGATTTGGTTGCCTGCTTTATTGATAGTAATTCCATTCTGCAAACTGAGCTCATGGGTCTCACTGTGCTTTGATCCCAGGACTTGTGATTGACTGAAGGGAAGTAATGAGAATTTCATTCAGCAGGCATATATTTCACTAATTTGTACAAGGAGATAAAGTTAAGGAACCTTTTTTCTAGTTATATGTATGAATATAATTTTTATTAGTATATTAACTTAGTTTAAATGATGTAGTAAAATATATATATAATATTGGAGGAGTCAAAATTAACTTGTATTTTTAGTTCATTTATTCAAAAAATATTTGACTAGTATGTATCAATCATTGTTGTAGTCACTGAAATCAACAGTGAACAAGACGGTCTCAAAGAACATATTTTTAGGTTACTTTTGAGTGTCTATACACTTGGGGAATTGTTTGTAACTGAGGAATTGTCTGTAACTGGGAAATTGTCTATCAAGTATTATACAGGTTTCACATTCCAGAGATTGTAGAACTTAGTTAAGAGACAGTCAATTAGCCAGATACAGTCAGTGTGAAATAGTTTTTACAGATGATCATTTTTTAGTTGATTACTTTTTATGTGTAAGAGATTATACCAAGTAACTATAATAGAAATAGTTTGTTTTTAAAATAAGTTTCTAGAGTCCCCGCTGTTCTATGATTCTGTTAGTGACCTATTTAAACTTAGCCCATGATTTATGGGGTTGGGTACATGAAAGAAACAACCAACTTTTTAAAGCCCTAGGCTGTTCAGCCTAGAAAAAGAAGTCTATTATATTATTCATTGTAAGTTTTCAGATATATGAAGGATTATTTTAAAAGAGCACATTTTTGTCTTCCTGAGGTCAGAAATAAAATCTTAAAATTTAAGTAGAGACCTGTAGGGGGTTACTAAAAGGTCTCTCTTTTGAGAGCTTAAAAGTCAGATTGACAGCCATGTTTCTTGAATGGTTTAGTTGCAGTCTCATTGACTAGCAGGGAGTTGGACCAAATGATCCTTTGAAATTGCTTCCAGCTCTGTTCTATTCAAGATATACTCCCTAAATTGGGAGGGAGGAGGGACCTACCTTCATGAGATCTTCTCTAAGTCATTCTCGTATAGAATCTAGTCAGTTTTGTATTTGGTTCAACCTCAAACACTAATATTGTCTTCAGATATATATTTCTGAGTGTGAAGTTTTGGTGGGTGTATGTAGGCAATTGCTAAAATAACACTTTAAAGTATCATTCCAACACTCTGAAGTTAAACATAGTATGAGGCAGATCTATTTTAAACCTTAGCCAGTATTGAAATGTCAGAAGAACATTGTTGGAGTGAAATTTTAGCATAGTTGAGTATTTCTAAAGCCTTTACAGATCATTAGTATTATCCACGTGTAAACCTCAGTGTATCTGTCTTACCAGCAAGTCTTTATGTACTAAGCAGAAACATGTACCAACTTGAGGTCCATTGGAGGACTTAAGATCTCAGTTTAGGAATTGAGATAGAAGACTTTTTTATATCTGTTAAATGTGTGCTGTTTCTTAACAGTATTTAGTTCAATATAATCCTTAACTGCTGTTGAAAGTGTCTTTGAGTAACAAAAAGTCAGTCCCGGTTTAATCTGTTACTAAAATGCAATCCAAATGTTATGAAATTATAACTTAATAGTTATATATTTCTAAAAGTATGGGTTATTCCTTCACTAAGTGTTTGAGTACCTGTTGTATACTCTGCACTTCTCTCACTTCTCTAAGCTCTTGGAGATATAGGGGAGAACAAGATGCAGTCTGTACCTTCATGAACTTTCATTATCATTTGCTAGTACTAGGCTGCTCTCGTATCCTATGTTTCAAGTTTTTTAATTTCGTTCAGTAGAACATTGGTTTCTAAAATAAATGCCACTGGATTTATAGATACAAGGGATACATTACTATAAATTATACTCATAGAAAAGCACACTTCTTGAAAAAATATTCTCATGCCAATCTTATGTATTTGTGTAAATTGTCAGCTGATCTGTAAAGTTGGATGTAGAGAATGAGAGAAGAGTTTTATGGTAGCACTCTGGAAAAGAAATAGCGTTTCAGGACATTCAGAGTAAAGGCAAGACAAATGGTCAGTGCCATTAGAGAAGGAGTCAGCATTCTTGACGTATGTCCTGGGAAGACAGAGGGCAAGATGATGGGAGAATAGAGTTACAGAGAACGAGAACTGTGTGTTTCCAAAGATAATGTGAAAGGGCTTGTGAGTAGAATTATGAAACTTAGTCTGGATGTTTCATATTCTTTATGTAAAAAAAAAAAATCTCAGAATAGGCTGGACACAAGCAGCTATAAATTTCTGAGATGGTAGGATCTCTTGTCACTGCTGGTAGAAGTGTAAGTGACATAATCCATTTCCCATCATAAGGCTAGTGACAGTGAACTCCACTTTCTCCAAAAGTTTTGCCTGGGGAGGGAGGGTATTTGGCCATCGCTGAAGTGTAAGATGAAACCAGGATGTCATCTCTAATAGCTATCAAGTTTGTTAGGAACTTGTGTTGGAAAACTATTTTATATGGGAGTAATCTAAACTACTGCAGATATTAAGGTAGAAGGGTAATGAAGTTAAGGCAGCTGAGAGCATGTAGGTGAATTTTTCCTTACAGTGATGTTTAGCAGGTCACTGTGAACCCACAGTTCTTAAGTAAAAGAAATTTGGTAGTGAAGACTGTTGCTTTTCTGATAGAGGAACGTGTCAGTATAATAATTTGTACAGGTGCATATTCAGTTCAGTTCAGTCGCTCAGTCGCGTCAAACTCTTTGTGACCCCGTGAACTGTAGCACGCCAGTTCTCCCTGTCCATCACCAACTCCTAGAGTTTACCCAGGTTCATGTCCATTAAGTTGGTGATGCCATCCAGCCATCTCATCCTCTGTCGCCCCCTTCTCCTCCTGCCCTGGCATGAGGGTCTTTTCAAATGAGTCAGCTCTTCACATCAGGTGGCCTATACTTGTTAATGACTGCTTTGGTTTATCATTTACACTGTGTTTCAGATATGTTTTTGCTATATATCTCATTTATAAATAAATTTCTTTAAATGTGTCAAGCCTTTGAAAGAGTAAACTTTATGACCAAGTTTGGAAGTCATTTATTATGTGCCAGGAGTTCAAAAACATGTATTTTGCCTCTTTACTTGAAATTTTGATTTTCACTATGTGCGCCTATTTTGTCGTCAGTGGTCCTGGTTTCATATTTTAGTATGTTTGCATCTCTTATAAAACAGCTTCTAATGAATTAAAATGTATAAATTTATTAATAGTCCTCTAAAAAGTTTTTCCCAGATCATATTAAAAAATACATAGTTTCTTGTGGGAAAAAGTATTGTTAAAAAAAAAAACAGCTCTGTGGTGACTGGGTTAAATCTTTTCAAGGCAGAAAGTCAACATGAGAAACATCAGACCACATCATATTCAATTAAAATACTCATCTAACTCCTAGAGGAGAACATAGGCAAAACACTCTCTGACATAAATCACAGCAGGATCCTCTATGACCCACATCTCAGAATATTAGAAACAAAAGCAAAAATAAACAAATGGGACCTAATGAAACTTAAAAGCTTTTGCACAACAAAGGAAACTATAAGCAAGGTGAAAAGACAGCCCTCAGATTGGGAGAAAATAATAGCAAATGAAGCAACAGATAAAGGACTAATCTCAAAAATATACAAGCAACTCCTCCAGCTCAACTCCAGAAAAATAAATGACCCAATCGAAAAATGGGCCAAAGAACTAAACAGACATTTCTCCAAGGAAGACATACAGATGGCTAAAAAACACATGAAAAGATGCTCAACATCACTCATTATTAGAGAAATGCAAATCAAAACCACAATGAGGTACCATTACACGCCAGTCAGGATGGCTGCTATCCAAAAGTCTACAAGCAATAAATGCTGGAGAGGGTGTGGAGAAAAGGGAACCCTCTTACACTGTTGGTGGGAATGCAAAATAGTACAGCCGCTATGGAAAACAGTGTGGAGATTTCTTAAAAAACTGGAAATAGAACTGCCATATGACCCAGCAATCCCACTTCTGGGCATACACACTGAAGAAACCAGATCTGAAAGAGACACGTGCACCCCAATGTTCATCGCAGCACTGTTTATAATAGCCAGGACATGGAAGCAACCTAGATGCCCATCAGCAGAGGAACGGATGAGGAAGCTGTGGTACATATACACCATGGAATATTACTCAGCCATTAAAAAGAATTCATTTGAATCAGTTCTAATGAGATGGATGAAACTGGAGCCCATTATACAGAGTGAAGTAAGCCAGAAAGATAAAGACCATTACAGTATACTAACACATATATATGGAATTTAGAAAGATGGTAACGATAACCCTATATGCAAAACAGAAAAAGAGACACAGATGTATAGAACAGACTTTTGGACTCTGTGGGAGAAGGCGAGGGTGGGATGTTTCAAGAGAACAGCATCAAAACATGTATATTATCTAGGGTGAAACAGATCACCAGCCCAGGTTGGATGCATGAGACAAATGCTCGGACCTGGTGCACTGGGAAGACCCAGAGGGGTCGGGTCAAGAGGGAGGTGGGAGGGGGGATTGGGATGGGGAACACATGTAAATCCATGGCTAATTCATGTCAGTGTATGACAAAAACCACTACAATATTGTAAAGTAATTAGCCTCCAACTAATAAAAATAAATGAAAAATAAATAAATAAAATAAAATACTCATCTATAAATGTTACCCTTGTGGTTTAAATGCAGACTGCCAATTTAATTCTTGTGGTGAAGACGGCTTCAGTTCCTGATAATATATTCAGTATTCCTGGCTTCTTTTTCAGAGGCTGCTATTCCAGAAAGCTTTCAACTCTCAGCAGTTAGTTCACGTCACTGTCATTAACCTGTTCCAGCTTCATCACCTTCGTGACTTTAGCAACGAAACAGAGCAGCATAGTTACAGCCAAGATGAGCAGCTGTGTTGGACACAGTTGCTGGCCCTCTTTAGTGAGTATTAAATCATTTGACTTCCTGTGCCATCTTTTTTGGGAAGCATGAACTTTGACGTTTTCGTCATTGCAACAAACCATTAGTAACATGGAAAAGTGTGGTTTATTTCGTAATACTGAATCAGGAGGCCTAAACCCTTAAGTTCTCTCCTTTCATCTGCTGACATCCCCCTCATCAACTGTATTTGTGATATTTCCAGTGTGGAAAAGAAAATGTCTTTTTAGAAAGAAGCCGTAAGGTATTTAAGTGTTAAGTAGCATACAGCCCCAGTCTCGTAATAATATTTTAATTTGGACTGGTACACAATTTCAAATATCTTATTCTTTGTGCACACATTTTTTCTTTTAAGTGTCTTTTCTTGGCATCCTGTGCAAGTGTCCTCTCCAAAACAAGTCTCAGGAGGAATCCTACAATGCCTATCCCCTCCCTGCTGTCAAGGTGTCCATGGACTGGCTGAGACTCAGACCCAGGGTGTTTCAGGAGGCAGTGGTGGATGAAAGACAGTAGTAAGTATCATGGAATTTCACACTAGCTGTGTGCTTTGTTTGTTTGATATCCATAGGTATGTAGAAACTGCCTTCTAACACAATATTGGAACAGTGGAGGACTTGTGTTTTCCACCTACTCTCTAGAAATTGAACTGAAGACGTCTTTGTGTGCTTTTCACTTACTTGTTTGAATTCTCCATGGGAGGCACAATCTTAAGGATTTCTGACTCGCTGTGTGCTCCCGCATTCCTGGTTGCCATCCTGGGGAAAAGGCATTTTTCACATTGCAAAATGAAATAGTTTATTTCTTATTCATTACAATACGCCCCAGTTTTCTGTTTAGGAATTGAAGGGAAGAGATTTTTTTACTTCTTCCATTCTTTTTTTTAACTAAGCTGTTTAATGTTGACTTTTAGTAACACCCAATTTGAGTTATATTTGTTTTAAGCATAGAGGATTGGATGTTATTTTGGCTCTCGTGATTTTCCATGTAATCTCTACTCAGAATATTCCTGACAATTCTTAGGAATTATTCATTATACAGTGACAAATGAAAGCTTTCAATTTACCTTTGGCCATAGGAATAAATGGGCTTCCCTGGTGGCTCGGTAAAGAATTCATCTGCCAATGCAGGAGCCACAGTTTCAATTCCTGGTCAGAAAGATCCCCTAGAGAAGGAAATGGCAACCCACTCCAGTATTCTTGCCTGGAAAATCCCATTGTCAAAGGAGCCTGGCAGGTTACAGTCCATGGGTTCACTAAAGAGTCAGACATGACTTAGCCCCTAAACAACAATAGAATAAATACTTCCAGTAAGGCTTTGCAGTGAGTGGGAAGCTTCTCGCCTGGATATTTTGATGATGGATATTGGGAGAGTCTCTGAAATTTCTACTTCGTGGCTCAGCATCTACATATTGACCAAGGTCACAACCTGAAAAATGTGCTAGCCACATTCAGGACCCCATGATCCCTCTTACCTTGTGCTTGTCTTACCTCTCCTCCTCTCAAATCTCACTTTAAGCGCCTTCATTTTTGGTATTGTCTTGAACGGAGTTTAACCACATAAGCACAGCATACTCCACTTCTCTTTTTCATGCCAACATAGCTCTTAGTAAGTTACATTTTAGGTAGTGTTTTCTTGCACAGTTTCTTTTCTTAACCAGAAGCTATACCTTTTTCCTTCTCATGTGTACTTCAGAACTTGTGTTTGGTTCAGTATGTTGTATTAGTAATGTTATGGAAAAGGCATTGGTATTTTTATTTTGTTTATTTTGTTCCTGTACAGTGAGTGAGCTTTTAGGCCCATTCTGTGCGTTCCCACTTCTTTTCTTTTCTAGTTTTATTTTCGCTGTGCCACATAAGTTGCAGGATCTTAGTTCCCCCACCAGTATTGAAGCTGGGTCACAGCAGCAAGAGCCCCAAGTCCTAACCACTAGGCTGCCAGGGGCTCCTTGTGCATTCTTACCATTGCAGAGGCTGTTCAACCCGGAGAAATAGCTTTATTTTCAAACTTTTTTCCTCTTTCTTCCATATCCTTTACTCTTCTCCCTCCCTTCTCTCAGATTTATTGGGATCTTTAAAATTATGTCCTTGCAGGTATTAGGTATTTTATCTTAAATTATGTTATTACTGATTTTCAGCTAGTTTGGGGTATTTCTCTAAAACTGAAGATTTTCCTTATGGGTCTGATACATCAAGGTGTAATAATCCTCATATCTTTTAAATGAGGGAAAAAACAATTTTCTGAACTTAAGGTAACCTTCAGTTTCTTGCTTTTGACCATTATCATTTCTAGAACTTGTTTTCTTCTATACTTTTTTGAGAACATGTTCTCTTAAACTGATAAGTGCATGAAAGAGTGTTTTTTTTTTTTTCCCTTAGTAGAAAGCAGAGTTAGACTTAAGTAGCCCACAGTGGGGGAAAGCAGTATATAATTAGGTCATTTTTTATTCTCTTTTTTGTCTTTCTTTTGAGATCTCATATTTGTTGCATAGAGACATTTTTGTTCTGGTCTAGCATTCCTTTTTAGGTTATTAACCTTCCTTTTCAGCTGTCTCTTAATTTGTTACATACCCAGAGGCTTGTAGCAGACATTTATACTTCATTGTTTCCTTGTATATTTTTTCTGTATTATTCACTTATATATAAAGTAGCATGTTCCCATATTTTAAAGTGTACAGCTGTCAGCTTCAAGGTTTTTTCTCTGATGTGGTGATGCGCATCCAATCTCTCTATCCTGGGCAACTCACCCTGGGCTTTTATTATTTTTTTAAAGCCACACTTTTTTACCAACATTGGTGGTTACATATTTCTAGAAAATCTTAATATTATCTTAAGTAGATTGTAATTATTTTTAATATTTTACCTATTAAGAATATTTTTTAATATTTTGCAAACTTTGGCAAAGGTTTGGTGTTACGAAACAGAGGTAAGGACATTATAACAATGTGTGAACTTTTTTATACCATAAAGAAAAAGGCATATTCATCACTTTGAATGTGATTTGACTGTGATGTAACCACATCCCCTGTCACAGATTAAGAACTAGTAATGGGTTCCATAACTGATAATGTATGTGAAAACTATAAAAACATAATGCGCTGTTTCTCTGGTCAAAGGTTTCTCAGTAAATATCCATTTTCAATGAATAAAACTGGCAAATCAGTTTTAACAATTTAACAGTTAGTTGTTAAATTAGGAACCTGAGGACCGATGTGCAGTAGTAGGTCTCTGTTACGGAAGTTTGGCCCTTCTGGTGTATCTTATCTAGACACATTAGGGATTACATTTTAGGAAATCATACAGCATTTAAAATGCCAAACCAAGAGAAAAATACATTGTCTAGGTCCTATTGGTAACATTTTTGTGGCTTATTAGCATTCTGGTTTCTCATGCAAAAATAAAGTCTGAACTATCTGTTTAATTTACAGCATTTGGCCGTGGCTAATTTCTCTTCTGAACAGTTTCCATCCCCATGAAGAAGATCTTTCAAGTACTAATGGTAAGGGCTCCCTTAACCTTGTGTTGTTGACATTGTTCTCCATCACTAGTAGTGGGCTTAGTGAAAGTGAAAGTCGCTCAATTGTGTCTGACTGTTTGCGACCCCATGGGCTATATATAGTCCATGGAATTCTCCAGACCAGAGTATTGGAGTGGGTCGCCTTTCCCCTTCTCCAGGGAATCTTTCCAACCCAGGGATTGAACCTAGGTCTCCCACATTGCAGGCAGATTCTTTACCAGCTGAGCCACAAAGGAATTAAATAATGGGCTTAAGGCCAAAGAAAAACAAGGTTTTGTTATTAAGTGTTTGACTTTAAATTCAGTATCTCAGAGGAGACTTTGTGCTTTGCATTGGTTAAGTGGGTGGAAATAGAGGTAATAATCCTCTTGTAGTTCTCTCAGCTTATCTGTTCTGCTTCATTTGAATAGGAGTCCAGAGAGTAGTGTTTTCAGATTCTTTCCATCTTCCCTTCTTCCTCATTCTTACTAGTTACTTTTTTGAGGAATTAATGTGAACATTACTCTGTCAAAATTATACTTGCTTATCAGGACATTTGGGACATACAAACATAAAGAACACAAGTCCCCCTTAGTTCTCTCATACAGAAATGCTCTCTGTACTATTCACGATACTGTATTTTCTTTGAGGCTTTTACTTATGTGTACATAAACATACCTGCATGTGATTGATATCACATCGTTAGAGCTATGTGATATAGTACAGCTTGGACTTCCCTATAGCTCAGAGGGTAAAGAATCTGCCTGCCATACAGGAGACCTGGGTTTGATCCCTGGGTCTGGAAGATCCCCTAGAGAAGGAAATGGCAACCCACTCCACTTTTCTTGCCTGGAGAATCCCATGGACAGAGGAGCCTGGCAGGCTACAGTCCCTGGGGAGTTGGACACGACTAAGCCACTAACACACACACACACAGCTGCTTTATAAATTTAATGAGATACCATTAGCATTTATCTTCGTCATTTAAACATTTTGGAACATGATTTTTTAAAGGCTGCTTAATATTCCATCCTGTGGCTGTGCCATAATTCCTTTAATCATTATCCATTTGCTTAAAACCTTGCCCCGTTGTAAGCAGCACTGCACTGAACAAAGTGTAGTGACCCCTTTCTGATTATCTTTCTTCCATTAGATCAGTGCCCCTCAAGTGTCATATTTGCAAATGAATCACTGGGGATCTTGTTAAAATGCAGATTATGATTCTGTAGGTTTGGGATAATGCCCAAGATTCTATATTTCTTACAAGCTCCTGGGTGATGTAATGTTGATATTCAGTGCTTTGAGTTAACAAGGAGATAATCTAAACATTGTGATTAATGGATTGAGCTATGAATTTTTAAGGCTGCTAGGGGAAAAAATAGTCCATCATACCTATCCTTCTCAGCCTTGAGTCGTAGGTGAGTATGAGGGCAATGTCATGGGCTCAGAGGCCACAGGTAGGGGCTGGACAGGTAAGTTTTTTTATCACAGTAACTATAAAGAGGAACAGAGAACTAGGAGCATTAATCTTTCTACCTAGAAAATATTATTTTTTTAATATAGGAAGCAATATCCTGCTGAACAATAATATTTTAATTAAAATATTTACAAGTCTTGATTTCTGCCCTTCTCTAGCAACACCACTTCCAGAGGAGTTTGAGTTACAAGGATTCTTGGCTTTGAGACCTTCTTTCAGGTAGGTGGCCTTCGTCACTTGTTTACCTAGAGTATAAAAAAGCTTCCTAATGTGCTTCCCTACTTAAAAGTTCTCTCCTTACCTAGTTCACTTTTACTCTGCTTCTGCAATTATAAAGTACAGATTTGATGATGCCCCATTACTAGTACAGAAAACTTCAATTTACACATCCCTAGTTGTTAAAGTATCTTTTTTATCTTGATGTCCAAAAGCTTAGTTTTTCAGCCATATTTCCTGCGACTTATCACCCCCTTCCCCTCCAATAGTTACACGTCATACATAAGCTGTGACCTGTACTTGAATAGCTCTGTATTTTTATTCCTCCAAAACTTTGTTCATGCTGTGCCTGGAACATTCACATTCCTCTTTTGTCCTTCCCTTACTAATCTATAAGCTCGTAACCATACTTGTCCAGGGTCCAGGTCAGGTATCTCTTACTTTGTGAACCTTTTCAAAGCTTATCAGAAGACTGTAATGTTTCTTTTATAATGCTTCTCTTATTCTTTGTTTAGCTTTTATTTCTTTGGATTAAATCATAATTATTTGTTCCTTAAGGTAGGGGGACTTATTTATCTTTGTATCCTCGGTTTCTGACCTACTGCCTGGAAGTTCTTCAATACTGCTCCTGCTTTTTTTTTTTTTTTTTTTGAGATAGCTTAATGAAAAATTTGAAAAACCCTTATTTTTTAGGTTGACTTACTTTTCTAATGTCAATGAGTTTTTTGCTCTGTACACTTTATGGTATGTGTTCATTTTTTTCTGATTTGGGTTGGGCCACCTTGAGGTTAATAGATAATACTCTGTTAGACTAGATATCTCAGAGACTCTAGCATTGCTATGGTTGTTTGAAGTAAGTTACTTACCATGTGAGCTTACTGTTAAACGAAAACTTTATTCTTCTTTTAAAAAAAAGTCATCCCTAATAAAACATTGTGATTTATTTCAGCTCCTCCATGAGAAAGTGAAATATAAATAAAAATATCACATTAATATTGCTTTGTTTGGTGGTATTTAGTCTTTAGGAGTATAAATAAGTTCAAGCAAATGCAGCTAATTACAGCAAATAGCTAACCTATATGGAGAAATCTGAAGCCATTGCAGTTCATCAGGTTTAATTTTCTATAATTTGCTTATGTCAATTTTAGGAACTTGGATTTTTCCAAAGGTCATCAGGGTATTACAGGAGACAAAGAGGGTCAGCAACGACAAATACGACAGCAGCGTTTGATCTCTATAGGCAAATGGATTGCAGATAATCAGCCAAGGTATTCCTCATCAGATATATACACATACCCCATATGAGTTTTACACTTTGGTATAAAGCTATTGATTATAAACTTTTTTTTTATATATAAACTCTGGTCAAAAGGTTGGGAACACAGCATCAGATTATGACCCTAGTGATCTTTGGAATGTCTTTAATCTCTGTCCTCTCGTTACACTGCCTCTTTTAGAGGTCTGCCTTATTTATCATGAGCTGCTTCTCCAATTTATAAACATCTATATAAATCTTAGCTAAATTGTATGCTCACAGTTTTGGTGATTTGTGTTGATAGGGGCATGCATGGTGGTCAGTTTCAGTCAAGACAGACCAGGATGATGCTTGTGGCATCTCTGAGCTTCAGTTTTCACACCTATAAAATAGGAACTTCAAGGGCCTAGTCTAGTGTCTTGTGCTTAAAACATGCTGAGCAAATGTAGCTATACTTGGCGTGTGTTGTGGTGATGTGTGGTGGGATAATAAGAAAGTGAGTTTCTACAGAACTGCTGTTTATGTTCCCCAAGTCCACACTGTTGCATCCTGCTGTTTCCCACATTTTAAGGCTGTGGGACCCATACAAAGTTCAGCTGTTACTGTTTTTTAGATTTATGTTTTTCATATATGGATTTATTTTTACTTTTTTAGGCTGATTCAGTGTGAAAATGAGGTAGGGAAATTGTTGTTTATCACAGAAATCCCAGAGTTAATACTGGAAGACCCCAGTGAAGCCAAAGAGAACCTCATTCTGCAAGACACAACCATCATAGAGTCCCTGGCTGCTGATGGGAATCCAGGACTGAAATCAGTGCTGTCTACAGGCCGAAATCTAAGCAACAACTGTGACACAGGAGAGAAACCAGTGGTCACCTTCAAAGAGAACATTAAGCCACGAGAAGTGAACAGAGACCAAGGAAGAAGTTTCCCTCCCAAAGAGGTGAGAAGGGGCTGTAGCAGAGCAGTCACTGTGACTAAGAATGATGGAGAGGGGGACAACACCAAGAGGAGAGCAGAAGCCAAGGGCTGCGCCTTAGAAGAGTCACGGGCAACGGGCGCAGGGCGGGGGCAGTGCAGGCAAGCTGCGCGTGAGCGGCAAGGCAGGCAGGGGCGGGCTCGCACAGAAGGCCAGACTTGCATTTCGCTCCTAAACCCTTGAGAGCTGGCTCTTCTGGAAGCTTCAGTGCACTCTACGAGGGCTGCGTAGTACGGTGATATGGAGAACTACGGTAGATCTATACTCTTGTCAGTTCTCAGAAATTGTAATGTGAGTGAAAAAATCTTAACCGGATTGGACATCTTTGTCAGTTCTCTCCAGTTTAAGTGGTAGGAAATGAGACCAGCTGCAGAACTATCAATTTCACAAATAATTCTATTTTCTTTGGGAGCTATAACTGCGATTTTTTTAAAATTAGAGATCTCTATAGATCCCACAGAGCTGAGTATGTTAAGGCTTACACAGTGGTGTTTTGTTTTGTTTTGTTTTCCCAGATTCACTATACAAAATGAAATACATTTTTGGAAAAAGATTTTCCTTGACATTTCTCTCTGCCCCAGTCAGTAGCATTGTGTAACCTCAGTGTTATCCTGGCTCATGGGAATTTGTAAAGCAAGAATCCAAGTCTCCTGCTGGGGAAAGATAAACACTACTCAGTTATTTGTGACTTGTTTATATATATATATATGTATGTATCTTTCCAAAGAGATACAGATGATTTCATATAAACAGAAAAAGGTCTTTACTCTGTGCTGGTCTTATTAATACCACCAAAGTTTGTAGCCATTTGATTCATTAAACACATTTTGGCAAGTGTATTTATTTACAGTAGGCATGAGGAATCTTACATTTTTGAAAGCTACTTTCAGATAAACAGTAGTCTATAGTGTATTTCCCTTACAAGGTTTTTTTGGAGAAAGAACATAATAGTTCCATTTTAATGTTAATAGTAGGGGGAGAAACAGAGAAAAACATGGTAGAAATTGAGGAAAGGCACAGAGAGAGTGAGATGTGTTGGGGAAAGGCGAGGAAAAAACCCCAAAAGAACTGTAAAGCCAGAGATCAGTGTTTTAGGGGTAAAGAGTTCAGCTATTTCCTGCCTGCTCTGCCTTCATTCTCTGAAACCGCCTCCCAGAAAGGTCCAGGAAAATGAAATCTCTTCCAGTGTCTCATCCCCTTTAAGCCTGAGTATCTATGATTTACAAAACCATGACAATAATCAATGTATCACCACCCTCTGTACCTCATCCTAAGTTTTCTATTAAATGCTGCCAGTTTTCCTCATTTTACTCATCTTTGTATTACTTGAGCAGTGCATTATGGCATCTGCTTCTCTGGCTCCATGTGTGGGATCTCAGGCCTGATATTTTTACTGCTGAAAGTATCCTCATTTATTCTGGGGGTGGTAGGGTTGCAGGGTGGAGGGCGGATGCTTGACTGATACCTTTAAAGCCTCCCCGATGAAGTTACACTGAGGCCACCTTTAAAGCCTCCCAGATGAAGTTACACTGAGGGCCAGAGTGTCTCATCTGTGAGCTAGTGGTCATTATAAATTCATGTATGTTCTTAATGAATGAGAATACAGGGTCCTGGGGCCCATAACATTGGCTTATGATAATAGGCAACTTTTTCAGCCTGTTGGCATCGGGTGTCTCCTTTGTAAAACAAATGAGTTCTCAGGCCTTTTCCATATTTCATACTTCTGTGATTTTGTGAAAGCAAAATAACTATACAAGTAAAACTATTTGGGCTATTTAAATAATTTTATTTTCCCATTTTTAATTTAGGTGAAGTGAATTATCTTCAGCATGTACTTTACTCTTTTTTTTTAACATAGTATAGGGTTTTAAATCCTTTGTTAGAGTAGGTGCTGCTTTCTGTCTCATTTGCGTTTCAGATTATTATAGATAGTCTTGCTTCTGGTTGGTCATAGGTAAAATCTCAGACAGAGTTAAGAAAGACTCCAGTGTCTGAAGCCAGGAAAACACCTGTAACTCAAACCCCAAGTCAAGCAAGTAACTCCCAGTTCATCCCCATTCATCACCCTGGAGCCTTCCCTCCTCTTCCCAGCCGGCCAGGTAAATATATGTTTTGTAATGTCGTCTGTTGAATTCCATCTGTGTAGGAGTGTCTATTCACCTGCTGAGAAATTCTAGACTCTGAGGGACATTACTAAACCCCTAATATTAGAAAGTATAAAGAAGTTCTCTTTTCCCTGATATTTCAGTTATTTTTAAGCCATTTACCTGTAGTTTATGTACAAATGCATGCTTGTTATTATGAAGGAATTCCTGTCACTAAACATGGCATCTGAGAAACCTTTAGGACATTCCAGTTGCCTCAATGGATAGAAGTAGCAGGCAGTAATCTGTATTTAATTCTTGAAATCAGGTTAAAGGTTGACACTTGATGAGTCTTACTTGATGGATCCCTGTCTTTCATGATTTATTAGATAACCTCTTCTCCACCCCAGCCCCAAATGACTAATTTTTGTCTTTCATTTTCTAAGTTTCCTTAGAACTAAAACAATGTTCTTCTATTTTGAAGGGTTCCCGCCCCCAACATATGTTATCCCCCCTCCTGTGGCATTTTCTATGGGCTCAGGTTACACCTTCCCAGCTGGTGTTTCTGTCCCAGGAACCTTTCTTCAGCCTACAGCTCACTCTCCAGCAGGAAACCAGGTGCAAGCTGGGAAACAGTCCCACATTCCTTACAGCCAGCAACGGCCCTCCGGACCAGGGCCAGTGACCCAGGGACCTCAACAGCCTCAGCCACCTTCCCAGCAGCCCCTCCCACCTCTACCAGCTCCGCCAACAGCACAGACTGCAAGCCAGCTGCAGGTTCAAGCTCTAGCTCAGCAGCAACAGTCCCCTACAAAAGCTGTGCCGGCTTTGGGGAAAAGTCCGCCTCACCACTCTGGATTCCAGCAGGTGAGTTACAGCTGAGGTGAGGAGAGGAGCACCTGAAATCATTCAGTGTCAAGTTAACTAAAAGTACTAGTTAATCCACCTCCCTCAGTAAAATAGAGCTAATGGGAAGTTGCTTTATAACACAGGGAGCTCAACCTGGTGAGGGTGGAATGGGGTGGGCAGGTAGGATGGGGCGGGGCGGGGCGGGGGTGGGACATGGGAGGGAGGGGACGGATGTATACCTATGGCTGATTCAGGTTGTATGGCAGAAAGCAATACAACAGTGTAATGCAGTCATCCTCCAATTTTAAAAAAAAAACCAGCTACTTTTTGCTTAGACTTGTAATGATTATGGGAACACAGCAGTCTTTGCTGTTTAGGAAAGTTCAGTTCTTTTTACTTTTGTAAAGGAGAATAGATATTACCTACCATACCTTGCTGCTACTGCTTGTCAGCTTTATAGAAAGGGATTTTCTGTAAACAATTTCCCATAAACCTGAACTACAGAAGGGAAATAAAATCATGCTCTTGATGAGATGTTAAGAGAACTGTGACACCAGTCTTAAGTATTATCATCCTGCAGCACTTGGAGCAGAAGGGGAAATGGATGCATGCCCGCCCACCCACCCACCCTCAACACCCTCATTTATTAAACCTCTTAATATTGGAATTGAAAGAGAATATGAACTCAGTGCCCTTAATCTGTTCCCAGAAAGCTCTGTATTGAAAAACCTAAAGAACAAACAAACCTGCATGACCCAGAGTTTTGTTGGCGGTAAAATCTCTCAGGTTCTCTCTGAGTCCTGAGTAAAGTAACATTACATTTTATCCTCATCTTAGTGAACCAGGCATCTCTTTTTTTAGTATCAACAGGCAGATGCCTCCAAACAGCTGTGGAATCCCCCTCAGGTTCAAGGCCCATTAGGGAAAATCATGCCTGTGAAACAGCCCTACTACCTTCAAACCCAAGACCCCATAAAACTGTTTGAGCCGTCGTTGCAACCTCCTGTAAGGCAGCAGCAGCCTCTGGAGAAAACAATGAAGCCTTTCCCCATGGAGCCATATAACCATACCCCCTCAGAAGTCAAGATCCCGGAGTTCTACTGGGATTCTTCCTACAGTGCGGCAGATAACAGAGCTGTGATGGCACAGCAAGCCAGTGTGGACCGCAGGGGCAAACGGTCCCCGGGAGTCTTCCGTCCAGAGCAGGACCCTGTGCCCAGGATGCCGTTTGAGGTGCGTGTCCTTCCCTGTCCCCAGGCACTTCAAGATCTCACGTATGTGTTTAAAGGTCCCCCTGATTTCATTAGTGCTACAGAACGCCACTGAGTAAGTGGGTGCAGCTCTTGGTCCCCTCTTCACACCACATAGATTTGGGGAAGCTGAAGAATGCTGTTCCTGATGTTGACGCCTGATGGTCTGGCAGAGAGACTATGTGCAGAAATCTTTAAGGCAGCATGTTAGAGAATTCTGAGACAAAGCTCCTCTCGGGCTGAATCATCTAAATTTAAAAATAGGTTTTACTGCATATTTAAGCAAGTGGCTTTCTGAGAAGAACAAATTTAGCCATCATCTTTGATAGTGGAGTTCCCTGTCTTTGCCCTTTTTACTCATGAGAAACAGGTGTGTGTTGGTAACTTTTTAAAAAAAGCTGTTTCTCTGTTAGCACAAGATACGCTGATCTCTTTGCTCCCTTGCGTTGTTTCACTGGCTGTCCACATTAACCTTTTATGTTCTGCTGTTTGTCACTGTCTTTACTTCTTTCTGTTCTCTTGATCTGTCCTTCCCATTGTCCTTGTGTCACTTTGCTTTGGTGTTTCGAAGCCTTTTCCTCTTTGCATAATGCTGTCTTACTATTCCTTACAGCTTCCTCCTTGTCTTTAGCTGCCTTCATCTCCCTAATGACGCTACTACTCCACTGTGCTTTTGTCATCCCTGATTGCATCTCACTGTGATCCTTTCTGTCACTAGGACCCCAAAGGCTCCCCTCTGCTTCCTCCGGACCTGTTAAAGAGTCTGGCTGCCTTGGAGGAAGAGGAAGAGCTGATTTTTTCTAACCCTCCTGATCTTTACCCAGCTCTGCTGGGACCTCTCGCCTCTCTTCCTGGACGAAGCCTCTTTGTATGTATTTGATGTAATTCTTTTTCTTGCTGTAACCCCTACCTTCTCTTCTGAGATTTTGTAGTAGAATAGGTAGTTTCTTCTTTCTAGGGCTTTCCCTTTTTTAACAGAATTTTAAAGCTTATTTCCTGATTGCCCAAACTAACATTCACATGACAGTAAAATGTGGCAAAACTTTTCTGTCCTGTAGTTTCCCCAAATCTTGTAGCTTTGTAATATATGTTATCCAGAAAGCATCCTGCAGGGCTGGGCACACACAGGATGTAATGCTGGGAAATTAACTTCCTTTTCAGGTGTCATTTCCACCTGGACCCAGGAATTTTAGTTGTCATTTAATCTTGCTTAGGAACAGTGAGATTTTTCCTCATGTATTCAAAATATGAAATGAAATAATGTTCCAGATGTTTTACTGAATAAAAAGATTCTAGATTGATTTTACTAAACAGTAAGTGGTTCTTTTCTGTTTGTTTAAGAGCCCTGATCTAAATTCAGAGCCAGATTTGTAATAGGAGGACTCTATTTTAAAACATGATTGGAGTACCATCAATGAGTGAACACAAAGATAAGGTCTAAGAATTGATTAGTAGTATCTTTTAAAAATAATCTTCTATATCCCAGTCTGCGTTTCAAAGGATGCTGTTATTTCCATGTCTTACTGAGGTCGGGAACTGCAAGAAAGATGTATGCTATGAGGTTTTTTTTCCCCCTCCCTGCACACCATCTTAATAAAGTGTAAAACATTTCTGAGTTCCACTTTCTTGCTGTTTCTTTCCCATAAACACGGGGTAAGAAAACGTTCACAAGACTAAAGTGCACTGATTTTAGTGTTAGAAATAAAAGCTTAATGGCTCTCCTGACAGAAACTGCCATCTCTAGCACTTGAAATTCCCTTAAGAATTTTTCTGAGTGAGTGGCCACACAGACCTCCCACTCCCCGCCTTCCCCAAATTAGCAGAAATAAGAGATCTCCTAGACACCCAAACAATAGTAGTGCAGTGACAGCACCTAGAGTTCATGGATAGCCCAGCTACTAAACTATTGATTCTACATGTTTGCCTTTCTTACTGTTTTTTCTTTTTCTTTTTTTTGCTGGGGTGGCTTAAGGGCCTAAGGGCAGAGCACATTTCTGTTCACTTGTTTCCTAATCCCTTAATTCTTGTTGTGCTTACCTTCTCCATTAGAAATGAACCTAATGGTGAAATAAGGGGGAGGGTCTTGTAGTGGGGTTTTTTCAGGGTAAAAAAAAAAACCTTAACTATAGCTCTTCCTATATTTAACATCGTTAATGATGTCATGTGTGTGGCAGTGCCTTGCATGTAGCAAGTGTTTAATAAATGCTTTGTTGACCAACAGTTCAGTGATAGTGAGCATCAGAGATTCAGCTTTTTTTTTTTTTTAAACCAATGAGTTTCTTAAGGACCAGTAAACGTAAACTTGACTTTAGCAAGTGTTTGAATACATACCACAATAGAGTTGCTTAGGAACCGTGCTAACAAAACCAGTTGTCAAGTGGATCTAAAGGCTTTTTTAAAGTCGTTAATGTCAGTGTTTTTAAAATTCTAGCAAGGGGGGAATTAGGAAGAAAATAGTGCTTGATCAGTTCAGCATCTTGTTTTGAGAGTATTTTAAATACAGCTGGTGACAAAGGGATTCTTGAGATTCTTACCTAGTGAATACTCAGTACTGCCAGTTTCCAGGGTCCCTGCCAGGATCTCTGTGCTTAAGTTAGAAGTACTGATCAGGAGGGTTCTGTCTGACTCACCTGTGACGACTGGCCCTTAGTGGGACCGTGGTATTAATAAAAATCTGAGTTGAATTGATACTTGCTAAGCTTTAATTTGTACAAGTATCCTTAAATTGTGGTCTTTTATTTTGCTTGTATGGTATCTTAAAATTAGTACTGAGAAAATGGAAGGCATAATTTAACTACCTTTTGTTTTCCCTCTGGGACTATGAAGAAATCCTTACTGGAGAAGCCCTCAGAGCTCATGTCACACTCATCCTCTTTCCTGTCCCTCACCGGATTCTCCCTCAATCAGGTGCGTAAACAGTGAGGCATCCTGCTGTGGGCTGTTATTTTCTTTCCCAGTCTATCTCAATACATCTGTTTTTCTCTTTCTTTTCTTTTCCATATATTGGTATTTTCCAGGTATCTGATTTTACCCCCTCCACCTCCCCACCCCACCCCTCCCCCACCCCACTTTGATTAGGGTATACTGGAAACTTTTGTAAGTTTGAATTGTTTAACTTCTCATTAATAATAAAATCTTTGGGGCTCTCTTGTTCAGCCAAGTAAATTATTCATACTTTTTAACCTGGGCGATTTACATAGAGCAGGATAAAGGGTGCGGGAAAGTAAAAAGCAAATGAATGAAAACAGGAAAACTGAAAGAAACAGAAGTAAAAGCCTTCAAAAGTTTGTCTTGCAAAGAAAGTCTTAAGATCTATCAAGCATCCACGTGCATGAACACTACATTTTCTTTCATTGGAGTGAGTTTGTGTACTTGGTGGTCATTGTATTTCAGGAACGATACCCAAATAACAGTGTGTTCAATGAAGTATACGGGAAGAACCTGACAACCAGCTCCAAAGCAGAACTTAATCCCTCAGTGGCTCCCCAGGAAACATCATTGTACTCCCTTTTTGAAGGGACTCCGTGGTCTCCATCTCTTCCTGCCAGTTCAGGTATTGACTAATCTTTAAATTAGAGACCTTGCTTTATTACCCGTACACTCAAGAGACAGTGTGGTTTGGTAATTTTATGTATTTGGTGGTTTTTGTCTGTTACTACTATTTTTGTTGTTGTTGTCATTGGTATTTGTTTTTTAAAGTAACTTCTGAAGGAAAATGGGGTGTAAAAAAGCCTGGTGAGCTGGTTCACATAATAAATGCCATTAGAAAAGCTGTTTTACATTCTCAGTAATGAGCACAGTTGTAAGGGAGAAAAATATGAGTTTTATCTTAAGGTTTGCAACTGTTTCATAGTTTTATTTGTAGATATTCATTCTTTACAGGAAAATTCTTAAGGTTAGGCAATTCTGCTTTGATAGAGAAGAACAGTATATACTTATCTGAAACAGGCACACCAAAACAATGCATACTTTTTACAGAAACATCTACATTTTTATTTTTAAGGTAAGGAACGTGCCTTAGATATGTGTAGTAAGACAGACTAGTGCATCTGGTAGGGTCCCTCTGGGGGCCTTTATTTTGCCTTTCTCCTGAAACCCTGGGGTTATTTTTAAGAGAATTTAAGTGATCAAATCTCCTGGAAACTTTCATTCTTGGTGTGTTTGTGAAAAATCTCTAATGTCCTGCGTTGCTGTTATTCAATAGATCATTCAACACCAGCCAGCCAGTCTCCTCATTCCTCCAACCCAAGCAGCCTGCCAAGCTCCCCTCCAACACACAACCACAATTCTGTCCCATTCTCCAATTTTGGACCCATTGGGACTCCAGATAACAGGGATAGGAGAACTGCAGACCGCTGGAAAACTGATAAGCCAGGTGAGATCCAATCTTCATTGCTTAGTAGAAGTGAACTAACTTACTCTGTGTCCTTCCTGGACCTTTGGCAGTGATAGAACATCTTCTTGAATTATTCTTTTCTCTTCATTCCTAGCCATGGGTGGGTTTGGCATTGATTATCTCTCAGCAACATCATCCTCTGAGAGCAGTTGGCATCAGGCCAGCACTCCAAGTGGCTCCTGGACAGGCCATGGCCCATCCATGGAGGATTCTTCTGCTGTCCTCATGGAAAGCCTAAAGGTGAGTGGATCAGGAACAAGAACCATAAGAGATGTCTCTGCTTTCATTCACATAAATAGCTAGTCTTATTCTTAAGGCCCTTAGGATTGTTTGATTCATACTATGTATCTGACAAAGTCTTAGAAGCATGGTCTGCATTATAAGATTCTTTAAAAGGATTTCTTTTTTAATTCACTAGTGATAAACCAGTATCCTCAGGGGGACAGACATGAAGCTTTTAGTTGGATTCTAAGATTAAGAAAATTCTGACTCATCTTGAAATATTTTCTTTACTCCTTTTTTGAACAAGTAAAAAAAGGATATCTAATTTCATAAATGTTTTGTTTGCCTAAAACAAACAGTGTCCTCACATGGAGCTGAGTTTTAGTAAAAAGACTTTATAGAAAACTTACTTTCACCTTTTCTGGTTTAAAGTGATCTTAATGAGAACTAAATAGCCAGTCTTGAAGGACCTGGTCTTAGAGCAACTCCTTGTAATAGCTGGATCTTTTCAGGGTTTGGGGACCTTGGGACGTACATGCCTTTATGTTTGGCTGGGATTGAAAATCAGATCCCTTTCAGACAGTCAGGCATCTGACCTCTGCTGACAAGCTCTGGGCTGTTTTTCAGTCTATCTGGTCCAGTTCCATGATGCATCCTGGACCTTCCGCTTTGGAGCAGCTGTTAATGCAGCAGAAGCAGAAACAGCAGCGGGGACAAGGCACCATGAACCCTCCACACTGAGGCCAGAGTGGCAACCCTGGGAATGAAGGCTCCATAAACCATGGCATGTTGGGTTTGCAGGACTGACCCACACAGTCCCCTGCAGGTGGCAGCCCTCTTTTCTGTGTCTCGCTGTTGAGAGGGTGTAAGTATTCCACCAGCCCGCTGAGTGTGCACGAAATGTCCGCAGTGCAACAAAAAGAAAAAACCATCAGGAACTCTCCGTCCCCCCGGGGCCTTCCGGAGGGAGAGAGGAACTGCTGTTTGTCTCACTCAGCTACCTGGTATCACCGCCTCTCACCTTCTCCATCGTGCATGTCCCCAGCCACGTGGGAAGTGAAAGCTGAGAAGGGAAGGCAGATGGGAGAAGCCAATGGGAACTTCTCAGTCCTTTTTTTTTCCTCTTTGGGGAATAAAATAGGAATCCATTAATGATTGCTTTGCTGACTGAGAATGTAGTTGAAATTACTCCTGAACATCTTTTATTATTGTTATTACTCTCAGTAGTAAGATATCACACTGAATTCTTCCATACACAGATGTGCTTCTTCTAGTCAGTGTGTAGCAAGGAAAAACCCCGTGCACCGCTCCTGTGAGAGGTCGGTGGTGACAGGATGGGGAAACCGACCTCTTCAGCCCGTGGAAACGGTCCATAAGGGAGAGGACGCGGCCTCCACTTTGACTCAGAAGGTTCTGGTGGGCCCTCCTCTGGCCTGGAGACTCCAGCTGGAAATGCCCTTCATTCTGTAGGTGCTCGAGCCCCAGTTGAGGATGCCGCACGGCTGGTGGTGCTGGGCTGGACTAGCCAAGGACTGCCGTCGGGCTCTAAAGGAACGTTTGTGGCTGCTCTCCCTTTTACGGTAGTGTCGCAGGAGTCCCACAGCAGGCAGGCTAGTCCATTCATGGCCTGACAGAGTTTACTAGGTAGAAGCTTTCAGTGTGGTTACTTTTTGTTTGGTTGGTTTTTGTGCACCCATCCTACTTACCACCCACCTCCTCCTGTCCCTACCTCCACCCCCTTTCCACCCTGTGCTGTGTGCTGTAATCGTTTTTATTCCTAACGTGTACAACATCGCGCCAAGAAGCAACAGCATTGGGGCCAGCAGTTGGGGCCCAAAAGGCCGTCTGAAGAGGAAGGAAGTGGCAGCGTGTGCACGCCCCGCCAGGCAGCCAGGCCCTTGCCCGGCTGTGGTCTCCCAGCCTCCACTTCCAGAGTGAAATTCAAGGCGACACGGACACGTGTGCATCAGGCACAGAAGGAAAACACAACGGAGTCCATTCTGGAAAAGGCAGAAGAAAGGAAAAGAAACTTTTTATCTGATATTTATTAGAAGGAAAGAGGACTGAAGATTTTTCTTGTGTAGAAACAGAAGGACAGCATTTCTGATAGTCATTTCCTGGGAAAGTAATATTTTAAGGGGAAATTATGGAAACAATCTAAATGTCCAATTGCTGTGCTAGTGGTAGGGTTTGTTTTCTGGGAGGGCTCTCCTTCGCGCGCGCGTGTGTGTGAGTGTGTTTGTGTGTGTGCACACTGGCCCGTCTGCTCCCTGTAGGGGAAGGGTGGTGCGTGTGAGTGTGTGGAGCTAGCGTGGGACTCAAGAGCTGGAAAACAGCTACAGAGCGAAGCACATCCAGGAGCCCCGGTCGTCACTGGAGTCTGGGCAGCCCCAGCAATGAAAAGGGGTGAGAGATTCATGCTCATTGCTCTTCCGAGAGAGTGGTTGGAGTCCCGAATGCTTACATTATTGCTGTTTTAGTTTGACATGGTGTTTGGGGTTTTTTGTTTTTGTTGTTTCTTTTTTTTGAAAGGTCTGAAAGGGTGAAGTCCCCCACCCAATGGCAATATGAAGCCCTTTGTGCTTCTCTCCAGCGCCTCCTCCGTGACCACCGTCCTCCCATCCCCTCCCTCCCGAGCCTCCATCCCTGCTGCCTTTACCCACTTTGTGTGTTTGAGCTCTGCATTCAGGCAGCTGCAACATTCCAGTGTTTGAACTGTCACCGACTCTTGCACCCTCGACACGCCCACCAGGTTCGCCGTCTCTCGCTCCCGCAGTGCCCACGTCCTGTCTGCAGCCCCATTTCTGCATGAGAATTTGGTGTTTGGAATGTTTTTTGACTCTTGGGGCGGGGTTCCTCGCCTTATCATCCTCAGTGTGGAGTAATGAGGAGGGAAAGGAGAATCTTCATCAGAAACTGGTTCTGTGTAGCAAACTTTCTTTTGTGTTTCTTTTTGTTTTTGTTTATTTGTTTTGGTCTGTCTGTGCAAGACCTGCAGCTGCTGAAATCAGCTTTGCCTTTAATTAAACCATGTTCTCTCCAACCAGATCTTTGTAGAGATTGTTTCTTTCCTATCCTAAAAGAAAATCCAACTTAACAAATTTAAACTACTCACAAGTCATCTAGGGGAACTAAAGAAGATCAAAAATCAAATATGCTTCAGGGTTATTTTTGCTTTTAGTAATATTTCAAACTGATGTGCAGGATTACAAAAAGGGATGGGTTCTAATAAAGAATGGCTTATGCAAAGGAGTTAACAACTCAGCATTTTTATCCTTACTGTTACCCTTAATAAGGCAGCTCAGAGACCGTGTATCCTATTGGCCCAGTAAACTCAACTCATTGAGATGAGCAGCAACAGTATTTGGTGTTCTTTGCTGTGGAGTTGTATTTCCTCAAGTTGTGTTCCCCGATTTCCAGCAGTATCCTGCCAGCCTTCGCTGTGTGAGGGAGCCAACACCGCACCTCACCTGTGTGTTTGCGCACACACCCACCAGCTGCGTTTTCACATTGATGTTGATTCAGTCTACAGTTTGTCTCCTAAGTGTACTTTTCATGAGCACCTACACAATTGAAAAATTGTTAGTAGAATATTCCACAAGAGGAAGGGGAATTAAGGCCAGGCCTTTTGAATTTATGGAAACTCACCCAAGTTAATCCTGAAAAACAAACATTACCTAGTAGGATAGTATTAACCAACTGGCTTCCTGAGCATGGCCGCTTTTCATATCAAGTATTAGTGGCATATACTCACTGTTGAACTCTTTAACAGATGTCCTCTATGAGAAAAAATCAAGGGATGTAGTTCCAGTATTTTAATTTTCTGTGAAATTAAAAGCTATATTCCAGGGGAACATAACTCAGTCTAGGTTCTGTTTAAGCAGCGAGACTTTTAATCCTCAAAATGTTAGCTTCGTGTGTGTAGGCGTGCATGCGCATATCTTCTGAATTACCTATTAAGTTACCTCGGTCCCTGGGAGTTTGTGATAGTAACGATGTAGGAGTGGGGATTTTTATACTTAGGTCTTGGGCCTGCACTCTGGGTATCTTGTTTTTGTAAGTTTTTTATTGAGGCATCACATATGTAGAGAGAAGTGTACCAACAGTAAGTATACAACTCGGTGAATTTTCACAAACCAAACACATCTGGGTAGCCAGCACTCCAAGCAAGAAACAGATTATCTGCACCCTAGAAGACCCCCCTCTTCTAGACATTTCCCTCCCTGTCTTGACGGTAATCATTGTAAGTTCTTACATCATCGTCTAATAGGTTAAAGTTTTAACAGAAGAGCAGATGAATTAATGCTTCCAGAGGGGTGTCTCGAATGTGTGGCAGAGGCGTGTCAAATCTTGTAAATGATAGTACTTCCTTTTCTTCAACATTGTAGGTTGTAAAACGTCCTAGACTCCTCAGGACGTGCTTTCCAAGTCTGTAGTTGCATGTTGTTCAACAAAAGCTTTGGGGAAAATGCCAACCTTCCCTTTGCACTCCCCTTCCAGCCATTCTTCATTCACTGATAAAAGGAAAAATACACGTTGACTTCTAAAATGAGTATAGGAGAATTCCCTCACCCGAGTAGTCCACTTAGAACTTTTGTTGGTCCTCCT